TGGAGATGAGTGGAAGACGGCGTTTAAAACGCCACAAGGGTTGTATGAGTGGATGGTCATGCCTTTTGGGTTATCCAATGCGCCCAGTACATTCATGAGATTTATGCATCAGGTCTTGCGGCCTTTTATGGGAAATTTGTTGTAGTTTACTTCGATGATATCCTCGTTTATAGTCCGACATGGACTTCACACTTCGATCACCTCCGTGCTGTTTTTGAGATGCTGAAAACGGAGTGCTTGTTTGTCAATCAAAAGAAGTGTTCTTTCTTCACTACTTCTGTGACTTTTCTTGGTTTTGTTGTGTCTACTGATGGTGTTCATGCAGATCAGTCAAAGATAGATGCAGTCTTGGAGTGGCCCAGACCAAGAACCTTACATGACATCCGAAGTTTCCATGGCTTGGCGTCTTTTTACCGTCGATTCATTAGAAATTTCAGTACTCTGATCGCCCTATCACAGAGTGCCTCAAGGGGCGTGATTTCCAGTGGTCTGAGGAGGCAGAGGCTAGTTTTCAACTGGTCAAGCAGAAGATGACCGAGGCTCCAGTTTTGGCACTTCCAGATTTTGACAAAGTGTTCGAGGTAAATTGTGATGCATCTGGCGTTGGCATTGGTGGTGTTCTGAGTCAGGTAGGTCGTCCGGTTGCTTTTTCAGTGAAAAGCTATCGGGATCAAGAAAAATTATTCCACTTATGATCTGAGTTCTATGCCATAGTTCAGTCCCTGAAGCATTGGCGTCACTACCTAGTACAGAAGGAGTTTATTCTGATTACCGATCATGAGGCCTTGAAGTACATCAATGGCCAACACAAGCTGAGTAGACGTCATGCCAAGTGGGTAGCATACTTGCAAGAATTCACTTTTACGCTGAGGCACCAAGCAGGGAGTTTGAACCGCGTCGCAGATGCCCTGAGCCGTCGTACCTTACTTCTCACCACCATGAGTACTAAAGTTACAGGATTTGAGACGTTCACAGATATGTATGCAGCTGATCCTTCCTTTGGAAGGATATTTGAGGAGGTAACTGAGGGTCACCGTCATGATTTTGTTTTGCATAATGGGTATCTGTTTCGTGGATTACAATTGTGCATTCCAGATTGTTCATTGAGGCAGCAAATTATAAGTGAACTCCATAATGAGGGACACTTTGGCCGAGATAAGACATTGGCCCTTATCTCTTCTGAATTTTATTGGCCCAAGTTGACTAGTGATGTGGCCCATTATGTGGACCGTTGTTATGTGTGCCAACGGTCTAAGGGAGTTCTCACCAATGCGGGATTGTACACTCCCTTACCTGTTCCTGAAGCTCCTTGGTTCGATGTCAGCATGGATTTTGTACTAGGCTTACCCCGCACCCAAAGGGCCTCTGATTCTATCTTTGTTATGGTTGACAGGTTTTCCAAGATGGCTCATTTTGTAGCTTGCAGAAAGACTATGGATGCTGACCGGATTGCCCATCTCTATTTCAAGGAGATTGTGCGTTTACATGGTGTTCCTCGATCCATCACTTCAGATCGTGATACTAAGTTCATCAGTCATTTCTGGAAGAGCCTGTGGGGGAAACTGGGAACGCAGTTGAATTTCAGTAGCGCCTACCACCCCCAGACGGATGGCCAGACTGAGGTGGTGAACCGAAGTTTGGGAAACCTTTTAAGGTGTTTGGCAGGAACGAAGCCGAAGCAGTGGGATTTGGCATTGCCTCAGGCAGAATTTGCCTACAACAGATCAAAAAACAGAACCACATGTTTAAGCCCATTTGAGATTGTCTATGGTCAGAACCCATCCGGGGTGTTGGACTTAGCCCCTATTCCACGTATAGGACGTTTCAGTCCTAAAGCAGATGAGATGGCAAAGTATCTTCGGGGTATCCATGAGCAAGTGAAACAGACCATTCATGAGAGCAATACCAAGTACAAGACTCGGGTCGACAATCATCGTCGTCAGGTTTTTTTTGATGTTGGTGATTTTGTTTGGGCTGTATTAACTCGTGATCGTTTCCTGTTGGTGAGTAATAAGCTTAAGGATCGGAAGATTGGACCTTGTGAGGTCGTGCAGAAGATCAATGATAATGCTTACAGGTTGCGACTTCCCAGTCACTTGAAGACTTCTGATGTCTTTAATGTGAAGCACCTGAGTCATTGTTTTGTGGATCCTGATGACACTACTCTGAACTCGAGGACGAGTTCTTTCCAACCCGGGGTGACTGATGCAGGGGGATCCGAGACAGATGATGCTGAGCTGTCAGATTGCACTTTGATGGCGCTGAGATACCATGAGTTGGCAGATCAGCGCAAAGGCGGGAATTGATTGTGACATGTTCCTCATTGGGGTCGTTTTGAGTATGTTTCAGTCTTTTGGCCATAACTTTGGCTACAGGTGTCAGAATCGCGCATAAGACCCCAATCCGGAAAGCTCTTTTCGACGCGCACGCTCTCCACATGGAGCTATGCTCCATGTGGCCTTTTTTTCAACCTCAAATTCTGCCGTTTTCCCCTCCGAATCACTAGATTTAGTTATTTTTTACTATTTATGGTAATATTTCGATTGTTAATTAGGAAGTCAATTTAAATCCGATTTAGGCCGGATTTTTGGGAGATTGCTTATTTTATTTCGAATTTCAATTTAGAGTGATTTTCGGGATTTTGCTATTTTTGGCAAAATTCGAATAAAGACGATTTTTTTGCTATAACAGTCCGGCTTGTGGACTGCTTTTTGCATTGTTTGATTTTATAATATTTTATTAAACCCTAGAGACTTTTTCTCTGGTTTTTGGGCGAATTTTCTCTTGTGAATCGTCTGTCGGAGCTAGCCTACAGGATAATAACTATTCTGTCTGGCGTCAGTTCCTGACATGACAATTGAATTTCCTTTTTAGATAAATTTAAGGAGGAGGTACCTACCATGAAAATTGTTTATCATTTGATTGAAATACTTATTATGGTTAAGGTAGAAAATGATTTTTCTAGACTTATGAAAATTACTAGTCCATCCTTTAACCTTAATGGATTCTTTTACGTGATTCATTTAACCTTTGATTGAAAAGGGTCTTTTCTTGTTCCTCAAGTTTTCACTGTGATTCTAATTCATTTAGATCTTTGCAGGCACATCTAGAGAAAGGAGATAAAGGTTTGTTAATTTACTTGGACATCGAGTACCCGATTTTGTTCGGGTTGACTAATGCTATCTTTGCAGGCACATCTAGAGAAAGGAGATAAAGGTTTGTTAATTTACTTGGACATCGAGTACCCGATGTTATTCGGGTTGACTAATGCTCCTGTGGGGCTAGTTTCTCATTGTGGGGTTCTAGAATTTGTTGCAGATGAGGGCTTGATCTACTTACCATACTGGGTATAGTTTTAAATTTTATTTGATGCTTTTGACATCGTGATTTCGAGACGGTATTTTGTTTGACTTTGTGTTGCTTTCTTTTTTCCTGCAATTTTGTTTTCAGATGATTCAGAACATGCGACTTGAAGAGGGAGATATTGTGCTGATGGAAAGTGCTAGCTTAGCAAATGCAACCTATGTCAAGCTCCAACCGCATACTACGGACTTCTTGGACATCTCCAACCCCAAAGCAATATTAGCGGTCTTCTTGGAAATTATTTCTTATTGAATATATCGAAATTCTACGTTCGTTTTCTTAAATTCTTTTTCGTGTTTGTTTGCAGCTTGGAAACCACACGGAGGAGTTACTCTTGCTTAACCGTCGACAACACAACCATGATCCCCTACAACAATAAGAAATACTTGATCAATATAGTTGAAACAAACCCCCCCCCCCCGGTGCAGTCAGCACAATTGAAACACACTGTGAAGTGGATTGCGCTCTTACTCTTGATTATAAAGAATTGAAAAGCCGGCTCCTCCTCTACAATCGAGTTCATCCCTTTCAGTGGTTTGGCATGGCAGTTGGACGGAAAACCTGCTACTCCGTAGCTTAAACATCATTCTAACGTTGGTAGTGAAACTGTTGCTTCCAAATCACCAAGCTCTACTTCAAATCAACGTGCTGGGAAGCTCGTATTCGGTTTGAATGGAAATTGGCCCCAAAATGAAACAGCAAAATGCATTGTTATGATATACTAGTTTAATAGTTGGAAGTTACTCATCCCATTCAGATTATGCATATTTTAAGAGTATCTTCGTAACTCTTACTGTAGATTACCATGAAGAACAGTCAAGAACGCAGCAAAGAGAAGGAGACAACTCAAGCCTTCACCGGGAGAAAGTATTCACTGATATGAAGGCTGTATTCAAACTTTCTTTTCTGGAGATTTGAATTAAAAAAGATAATTACCTTTTTAATAATATATATATAAGCTTGAACTTTTATCTCTGTATTCTTGCAAGCACATTTAAATAAAGGAAATCTGAAAGGATCTTTTCATGATGTTCCTAACCATGAGAAAACCATGCTCATAAAGAATTCAAATCTCATGATCTACCTACCTGCCTGGGCCATCAATCCTTCCTATATAAAGGAACCCTCCACTTACACCATTTCACACACCAAAACATGAAAGAAATCAGTTCAATCTTACTGCGAGAAATGGAATTCCGCATGAAGCTCGGTTTTCTTATCATTGCAACGGTACTGGTTCTTCTAGCCACAGTGTCCCCGACTGCATTGGCAACTCGTAGCGAGGTTATCTTGACTTACGATTTCGAAGCCAAACCAATAATCAAGTTAGTAACATCAGAAATCCTTTGGCAATGGTTTTTGAGGCTTACAACAGTCCCAGAAACTGTATCGCTAAAGGTTTGTGGTGCGGTTGGAATCTGAATGGTTGCTGTGAGCCTTGCGGATGCCTTGCAGGGTTTTGCTATGCCAAGGGACCATGCAACTGAGCTGCAAGGCAGACCTCACAGGATAAGATGATTAATGTTTTATTATATGAAGTTCGAATAACGAATTCTGTGTGTTTGCAAAATAATGAATAAAAGATACTTTTGAAAACAAAGAAAAAAAGTTATATATTAAATTAGGTTTACATTGCTAAGATCCACTGTCTTACAGGCTCCAATGGATTGGTGATTGTAAAAGACTACTGAATACATATGGTCTTAAAGAGCTAAGCTCTGAACGTGGTATAAAAAAACTATGCTCTAACCATTGTCTCAACGGAAATCTTTTTGGGCTGCCGAAAGCTCTCATCCTTCTCATTGGCTGCTTCCCAGAGCTCAGGCAATGCTTCCCTGATATTGTGAATGCTCTCTAGTGCGTAATCTACACCATCGATCCGGTGAGAAGTCCCGACCTGTATGCATTGCATGGGAGGAAACTGATGAGCCAAACATTCTCAAACAAATAGAAGGCAAAACCAAACACAAAATGTCAGGATGCTAGAATACTTAGCTTACCCACAGTGTGAAGTCCCATGTTCTTGCCAGTTTGTAGATTGCGGGTGCTGTCATCAAAGAACAACTGCAAAAGCACGCATAACAATATAGGTCATTCGAAATCATCTGTAAATCAATAGATTTGACGGTTTTAGTTACTGTTTTCTGGGGGTTGATGTTGGCAATCTTGAAAACTTGCTCGAATGCGTTCTCAAATGGTTTGCAGACAACTGGAGTCCTTGGAAGTTTAAGCTCAGAATCAAGAACAGCACTGCAGTAACTATCAACGTCGAAAATGGCAGTGTTGGATTTAAGATCATCAGCATCAGAAGAGTTGTCTTTTTTTGTGGGATTCAGAGTCTCGAAACTTATAATCCCTTCAAAGCAGTCCTCCAATCCCAACATGTTGAGCACCCTGGCGGCATGGTTCTTATCAGCGTTGGTGAAAATCTGTATGCAATCCGGAACAAGGTTTACAAACAGTACTCCAAATGGTCAAAATGGCAATTTCATAAGAAAACAACAACAAGCTTACAGCTTTCCGGACTGGTAGGCTGAGCAAAGATTCCTTAAATGTGATGATTTTGAAAAGGAAGCTAACAGATTTGTTAAAATATGGAAGACCCTTCAGTAAACAATGAGAATACCTTGAATGTTCTCGGTAACTTCACTTGAAATGCCAGAAGTCGGTGGATAAAGAGTGTCATCTAGATCTGCAAGTTTTCAGAGGAGAAATCTTTTTGAAATTTAAATTTCGAATATATTAAGAGACGTTTGTTTGAAAAAAAGATTGGAAATTTACCAAATAAGAGACATTTATATTTTGGGTCAATGGTCTGGTTCATCTGATCATATTCCATTTCTTGTCTTAACAAAAATGTTCATCAAAATCTTCTATCAGTTCAAACATAATGAAAAACGAAGATTCAAAAAATATAGAAATATCCAAGAAAGGAACATACATTGATACATCAAACGTGAAAACTAAACCCAGAAAAATAGAGCCTTTAATGTTATATCAAACAGACAAAATCAAATGAAGAACAAAACATGTAAAATAGAATCGAACATTACCGGATTGAAAGTAATCAAACGCTGTAAGAGGGGGGGGGGGAACCAAAACTTTGTAAGCTTTTAATGAGAAACCAAGGCAAACGGAGAGAGAAGAAAGTGGTTATGGAAGTCGTTTGGGTGGTAGGAGGGTAGTTTTGTTCTAAGGTACCTTAATATAAGGTTAAAAAAGTGCGTAATTAAAAATATTAATATTTTTTTAATATTTTTTATAGTTTTGATATTTTTGAAAGAACATTATTTAGAATATAAATTTCGTTATCTAATATGTTAATCTTTTAACGTTTCTGGTTGCAACTGGAAATGTTACTTTCTCCATAACATTTTCGGTTGTAACTATAAACGTTAAAAAGATTAACATTTTAGGTAATGAAATTAACATTTTAGGTAGCGTTCCACCGGAAATGTTAAAGCAAAACTAACATTTTCGATTGCGCATTTTCTTAGCCTTATATTAGACTGTCTTTGTAACACCCATAACCCGTATAATTATACCTATACAGATTATAGATGTCACTAGTGTTTTAGAACCATTTCCGATTCAAAAGTGATTTAAAATTTATTTTCTTAAATTGGTAAATGATATTATACAATAGCATTTCATATTAATTGTGTTTCATTATAATAAATTTAATTCAAAAGATTTTTTTATGAATAGTGAACAGTGAACAATGTACAGTATACAGTGTATAGTGGCCCGTGAATTAGTGGGGGAATCGGTTACTGGTAGGGAGAATCGGTTCCCTTTTTACTTTCTGGAAAATTTTGCTAAAATGTGATTACTGTTTGAAAATACATATAAATTCATAAAAATTCCATTTTTGTTTCCAAATTTGTTCAACAAAGCAAATAAAACATCAATAATTACATGCCACTAATAATTTCAACATTACAACTTAGGATGTCTTACTGATATTAATATACACTCCTCAATGCTTGATATCAGCTTGAACTCTTTATTCCACTACTGGCTTTTTACCTACGCGTGAAAATCATCACACGCTAAGTATATACTTAGTGAGGCAATTATAATAATAAATAGTGCAATACAATTCATGCATGAAATTCAATGTCAAAAAATCAATTGTCATAATAATCATGTTACCAGTATATCCAATATTTTACCATGTTCAAAATATTATAACTGAATATAAAAATTCTTTCCCATATACTTGTCATTTACTCCATGAGCTCGTAAGCTTATTTGCATACTTACCATTTATTAACCAATAATCTATAAAACCATAGCCCATAGCCCAATATAAAAACTGAGGACCTTGGGTATTCCAGTAAAATACCTGCACCGTAGTGCTAAACCTGCACTAAGCTTACGCCATAGTGCTAATCCGGATATGACATATAAGGTTGTGCCCACCACCTACACTATGCTTACGCTATAGTGCTAATTCGGACATGATACATAAGGTCGTATCCACCTTCCCGCACTTAGTGTCCTTTCACACTATAGTGCTATTAAAAACCTGCAGCTGCTATACTCTATGACATGCCAACTATACCCTGTCCCTGAATGACTTCCTTGGCCATATAGTCTATTTTATTCGATTCATCCATGGCAAAGTATATTATCAATATTTAACATTGGGAAATTCATACCCGAAAACATTCATGGTAAAATATTACATTTTTCATTATCAATGCATTTTAAATTTTATACTATGACATTTCAATGTCATGTCAAAGTTATAAAAATGACATATATCATGCTGATATAAACAAGGTTGACTTATTGCAAGTCTTCCTGATGATGTATAAAACATCCATATATAATTTCATGCATGTATTGCACTCACCTTGACACTTTATATAGTCCACAATATGATCCTCACTAATTGTCCACAATAAACCCTTTTCTATTTGACTTGCTTCGATCACAAATAAATCAAAATCTGTATTAAATCACAAATTCATATAAATACTTATGTTAGTATTCTGCTAACATAAACACATCCCATAACAATTCCATAATATACTTGAAACTCATTTTCTACCAAGTATTTAAACACTTAATAATTCCTTATAACATTTGCACCAACTTTCTCAATTACATAAAATAGTCCTTTACCATTTTATCACATACATTCACTTAAATTCCCAATCAACAATTTCCATCATAGTACATCAATTATACAACTCTTATAAAACTTGTAGAATACTCCCTTTATCATTTTATTCTTACTCAAACAATCCATGGCCAAAACTTAAAGAACACGTTTTAGATAAATTAAACATGTTCTAATCATCATACATATTTGAATATGAATCTACAACATGTAAATCATCAAGATTTATCATCAATTTCATGAATCCTATCATGAACATAAACCCTTAGATTTGGGATCTTTGAAATCCAACAAGATTAGAAAGCAATATTGGTACCAAATGATAGCGTTTTTCACTTATATCACTTTCCTATCTCACGACATAACTCCAATTCCAAAGGAATTAGCTCAAAAATTGAAAATAAAATATTTTATTACCTTGAAAGCTATCTCACGTCCATGGAGAAGAGAAGAACACTTTGGCATGATATGTTTGATTGATATCATGCTTATCATCCTTTAAAAAAATTATTTAAATCACTAACTTGGAAAATACCAATTTACCCTTACTAAAACTTTATAATCACCATTAAACCAAGATACATATCCTTATCATCTTCAAAATCAAATAAATATCAGCCTTGTCATCTTTTAATAGTCAAAGATGAACAAATTAGTTTTCCACTTTACCTTTTTGCCCTTGAAATTTCCAAAATTTACAATTCAGTCACTTTAATCAAACAGTTCAACTTAAACATGAATTTAAACCATAAAATATTATTTTCCAACATTTTAAAAATGTGAAAATAATATTTTTATTTCTTATTTTTGTGACCCATTTGTAATTTTCCAAAATTACATTTTGGTCCCTAAACTTTTCAAAGCTTATACTTTGGTCACCAAACTTTACCAAATGTATAATTTAATCACTAAATAAATCCATTTATGGAATAACATTCTTTTTGAGAAAATTACCACTTAATTCCTTAAACTTTTCCCAAATTTTCTACTTTGACCATCAAACTTTCAAAATTTTCATTTTGGTCATTATCTAAATTTCTGGGGTATTACAGTCTTTCTTTAGACATCCCTTTAAGAGTAGTGCTTCTGGAAAAGGGAAACACGAGGATGTAGAAGGAGCTGAAGCCAAAAAGTTAAGGCATGACTTAAGGACATAACATGTTCGATGCAATGTCGTCTGAATACGGTCGAGAAAAAGGGTGTTTTTACCTAAAAATCACCCAAATATATATTATTTACCTGTAAGTCACCATTTTTTTAAATATTATTGATCTAGCACCCTTTGACAGTAAAGCATGATTGACCAAACTCGCCTTGCACACGTGGATGAAAGGTACAGATAATCAAGCGCGTTTTTCTTTCGAGTTGGCGCTGCAGCACCCACCGATTGATGAGAGTGACCCAAACCGATCTAATCCATCAAGTTCAATGGGGATACATTCATCAGTAACTTGTTACGATCTCTATCGATGTGGCTCCACGAATAATCCGTATGGTAACATCGCTTATAGTTCAAGGGGAAGACATTCATTTACCAATTTATTTAACCTGAATATGGAGATATCCTCGACCTAACAATTTGTTCAATACCCATTTGACACGACGCCTTCAAGTTCCAGGGGAGACATTCAATTGCGAGCTTCTTCGACCTCAATATGGAGATGTCTACAACACAACGCTCAGTTCAAAACCCGTTTGGTATAATGACTTCAAGTTCAAGGGAAAGCATTCAACTGCCAGCTTGTTCGACCTAAATATTGACATTATATAGGAACCCTCATCTCCACCATAAGAACTTATTCGTGAGCCAGGTGAGGATGATGCTAAGACTAGACTATTCGTTAGCCCAAATCATCGCAGTTCAACATGGACTTCGATGATGATGATGTAGATGAAATTCCCACAAATATGATACACATTGAACCTTCAACACACATGTATGAAGTTGAATATGATGCAATGCATGAGCTAGAATTTACGAATATGCCAAATGTTGATGAGTACGGATTTAACTCATCAGTCAATGATGGTGAGCTATATAAGGGAATGGAGTTTCCATCCAAAGAAAAAGCGATGATTGCAATTAAGAATTACAATATTCGTAATTTTGTTCACTTCATAGCCGACCGATCAATCAACAAAAAATATGTCTGCCACTGTGTCAACATGATAACGTATGCAATTGGATGGTTCATGTATCGAAGAGGTAGAGAAAAAAATAACATATGGGAACTAACAGTGTACAACGGTCCTCATACATGATGTGCTAGAGGGATCAACCAGGACCATCCCAACTTGGACTCCGATATTATCTGCCAAGCCATCATGCTCATGGTCAAGCAAGCTCCCATATAGCTATTTTGGTTCTAATGTCAGCTATACAGTCTCAACATGGATACACTATCTCCTACAGGAAAACATGGAAGGCAAAGCAGAATGTCATTAAAAACTTCACGGCGAGTGAGATTCATCTTACAACGAACTACCAAGTTGGTTTAACGTAGTGTACAGACTGAATCCTAGAATAATAGTCGACTTCAAAACTTGCCATGCATACCAAAATGATCAAGTGCTTCGCAATCAATGCCAATTCTACCGGCTTTTTTGGTCGTACCCACAATGCATTAATGTTGTAAAGTACTGCAAGCCCGTGTTCCAAATTGATGAGACATTCTTGTATAAAAATACAAGAAAGTTGTACTATTGGCAGTTATCCAAGATGGTAATAGCAACATTCT